CATAATTTTTTAAAACAGTGGCATTTTAAATGCTATACTGTAGATTCACGTATTTGTGAGTTTGTAGTGCTCATCTGTATTTTCATCGTTTAGTGAGAAAAAATATTTCTGGTGCACAATGTTCTTTTTTAATTAGTTTATTTTTTTGTTTTCTTCGAGCGAGAAAGCTTGATGTCTTTTTGCTTTGTTCAGAAGTCGGTAAATTTCGCTCATGACCACAAGGCTGAGCAGTTTGCTGACTGCAATATGCTTAGTCAAAATTAGGAGTTGGACACGAGCAGACTGCCATTGGCAATTTGCCAAACCTAGCAGCAAAGATTAGGCTAGGGTTCATCGTGTGAATTAAAGCAATTGTGTCAAAATGTGAGAAAGCGATTGTTTAGAAATGCAACATTAAGAACACGTTTAAATAGGCTGCACCAATAAGGAAAAGTCAAGTTTTTCTGTTGACTAATAATTAAGAATGAAAACGTAAAATAATGAATATTATTTATGATATTAAAATATTAAATATTAAAATATTTAGCTTAAATTTTTAATTGTAATTGAATAACAGGTTTTAAATCTGTTGGTCACCCTGACTACCATGGAAATCACCGTTCTTGTAATATTGTAATAGGTTTATTCCATGCTGAAAAAAATGGAAGAAAGAAAACACAACGTCGGCCGTGGAGCCTTCTTCAGGTGTGAGAAATATATTCTTGTTATATTTATTGGTTACTTAATGCCAGCATTAAATGTATCACTTCCAGTTCCACCAGCAAGAGCACAGGTGAAGTTGCATACTTTCATTCAGGGGTGGGGTTCTGTTTTTCTAAAATTATAAAAATTATGTTTTTTATCAAAAATAAGAAGAAGCCATCCTAATGTTTTTGTTTGCAGTCAATGTCTATTGCTGACACCCTTCAGATGAAATGGGATGCCAGTGAATAAGTAGAACAAACTATAGGAGTTTCAAACATTATGTACTCTATTGTATGAAACAAGACAATACAATGAAAAGAACATGCTGCCAAATTACTGTCAGTGTCTTTAACCCTAAGAAATTGTACAATTACACATTGTGCAACTGCCCATTAGCAGTTTTGTGATCCTGTTTTGCAAAAGGCTATTGTACTTGTTTAACTTTCAAGAATGATAGTTTATGGAACCATACAGTCACATCATCCCCTAGTGAGATGTTTCACTTACACGGTGGTTATTATCTGTAAATGTAACTCCTACATTTTATATTAAAAATGTGTACGATCAATTTATTTTGGGGTTGTCGAATGTCTGTGTGGATTTCAAAAAGGCCTCCAGGGTTTCCTGTCAACCTGTGACAGAGTTTTGGGAACATTTGTTCCATCTTGGTGCTGAAAAAAAAATGTGGTTCTGGCCCATCAACCTGAGGTTTGGTTTAGACTATCTTTTCCTATGTCCCTCTTTTTGTGGTTGTGATTCTTCATAAATAAGGTATGCAAACTGACTACTCATTTTTTTTCTGTTAAGTGAATGTGCTATTATAGTATGCAATATGTGTCTTAGATACTTGTAAGACTGCTTCCATCAACTGTTTTTATGATATGCAAAGTATTTTGAAAAACAGGCAAATCTGCTCTTGAAACCTTGGGAATTTATTGTGTCATCATCTCACGCATCACACCACTTTAAATAAGCACATACTGTATCTAATTCAAGGTCACGGTGGCCTGGAGCTCATTCCAGGAAGCATTGGGAGCAAGGCAGGAATCATCACAATTATGTAAAAAAAAACTTACTCATTTCAAGCTTTATGCCAATTGCAGATATACAGTATAGGGTTTTGTTAATGTCACCATGCTCTGACTTCCTGTGACACAAGTACAGTACATTGGTCACAGTACTGATGTCTTCAAGAACAATTTCAGTTTTCCCTACATACATACAATACTATATATGCATGGATTATGCTGAGCTCCTGACTGTAAACAAGCTGTAAATAACTATCTGGTGTAAATCCAAAGAAATACATGGGATACAATTGTATAATTCAATACAACTGAGCAAATCTGAAGAACAGCACTTAATGTATTTGAATGAAATTCTCTGTAAAATCATGTTACAGTAGTAATTATGGCTTTATTACTAATTATTAATTTGTTGTAAAGCAGCTGAAGTGCAAAGAAAATTTAAATTGACCTTATCACTGAGTTCAGAACTGAGATTGACTGGACACAAATTCTTCTCTCAATTGTAATGATGTTAATAAAAAATGCTCTTAATTCTAACCAATCCCATTCTGGATGACCTGTGTGCATTATATAGATTACACTCTTATACATAAACCCTCTGAAAATGACATTCACATATAGTATAGATAATATAGTCAGTGGATCCAAGATAGAAACAGTCCCAAGCTGATCAGCACATACATATATCATTGGTCTGGTGTAATGAAGATTACCTGATAAAGATCACAATATGACAGGTTTCCTTTTGCATTGGCTGCTGAACAGCCAGAAACTGTTTTTCGCGGCCAACCTGCTATTGATCCAGTTTTCTCCTGTCAGTGATGCAGTTAATGGGAATTCCACAGGCAAATAAAAGCTGCATTTTGTCTTCATTTTCATCTAAAATATGAGCTGATCCTTTGTTCTCCAGACAGCCATTTATTACTCATTTTCTTTTTATTGATGTTTATGAGCCAGGGCATAAAATGATTCACAAAATACAGTTTAATTGAGGCAACAGTTGACACCATGACCATAGTTACTGCAGCATTCTGCCCATGATTCATTGCTTTTTCTCTGCTTTCCAACTCCCATGCTTTCCAGAGGAGGAGAAAGAAATCCTTTAGGTTTAATCATTGTGCTGCTGAAATATAGTGTGTTCTTCTTTCGTGGGTTATAACTATAACTGCCTGCCGTGATTTTATGTTGTTATTGCTGTGCGTGAGTGTGTGTTTTCTTTCTCAGAAAGGAAAAGCAAGGCCAACAATATATTTTGGGTTTTATTTTGAACGTCCATAGTGAAAAAAGAAAATATCCCTTTCCAAAGCACTTAGTTGTGGGTCACAAGTGTAAATTGGTAATGCGTACCCCTCTGTTGCTTTTGTTATTTTGTTTTCCAAGCTATTATCCTCCTGTACAGGAGGGAAGAGCAGCCTGTTCAATTACAGCTTAGGCCAGGCTGCTCAATTCATTTGTAAAATGGCCAGGCCAATCAATACTCTGGGGAAGTATTTTTATATATGCAGTTATTAACTCATAAGCTACAGTATTTCTCATTTCATTTCAGCAACAGCTGAGGTCTCCATTTCTCCCTGGGGATCCCTGCAGGGCCCATTATGAGAATCATAAATAATATGTGCTAATGAGATATGAATTGATTATGTGGGGAAAGCTGACATTTTCATCCATCATTCTAAATGATGTTTAACAATGGATTACCAGCCAATAATTCCTCTGATATGAGATTAAATAAAATAGCAGGCTGTTTCAGCAGCCTAGCTCAAGGAGGTGGTAATAAATCCGCTCAATTACTGTATTACCAATCCGTTTTTCACCGCTAAGGATATTATTATTTCATTTAGACTTGTTCATGCATCATAGATTATTTTATTTCAGTCAGTCAATAGGAGAAACTGCAGTATTTTATTCAGTGAGCTGCAAAGAACTGGGCTTTGATAGAGTACAGTAAGCACTGCTCAGGGAGCCTGGAGCAGTCAAGAGAGGGAACAGAACCACTGATGGACCTAAAAGCCATTATGAAATCCAGGTTTTATGGAACAGTGTTTTGCTTTTTTGCTCTAATTTACTTTAGGCATTTCGAAAGCCTAAACAAAGGCTACTGCCTTGCAAAGTGATCAATTGAAACTAAATTATTGGTTCCCATAAGAGAATTTGTACATCACCTCAATCCAAGTGTATATTGAGAATTGGATAACACTGATTCTCCTTGGCCTCCACTTAGCAGCAAATCGGATTACTCGTAACCACAGAAGAGATTTCTTGATTTGTTATTTCTTATTAAAGACATAAATGCTGTTTTAGAGGTCTGGAGTGCCCTGTTTCCTCTTTGTGTGAGGTTATGCTATTTCAACATGATCCACCTTAGCTAAATATGAACTTAAAAAAGATCACAAATATAAAAACAAGGATATGCATGAAGTTCAAGAGTATTTTTTTTTAGTTTATCATCCCACTGTTACATTTCACAATGTTTCCTCTATACATTCATCCATTTCTAACCGATTCATCCAATTCAGGAGTGCGGGGGAGCCAGAGCCTGTCTCGGAAAAGTTATGGGCAGAAGATGGGGTACACCCAGGGTGGAATGCCAGTCCATTGCAGGGTACACACAGTCACCCACACACACACATACAGTACAGTACATAGACCAAGACCAATTTTCCCAGAAGCCAATTACCCTGCCAATGTGTCTTCGGACTGTGGGAGGAAACTGGGCCACAGCAGTGCAAGGTTGCGATCTTAACCAGTGTGTGTTACAATGTTAAGTTTTATTGTGTTATATCCTGACTTTAGAGCAGCATAATGACAAAGTGATTAGCATTACTGCCATGCAGCGCTAGGGCCTCTGGTTCAATTCTGGACCTGGTGTGCTACTGTATCCGTGTGGAGATTGTATCTCCCTGATTCTCCCTGTGTCCGCATGGGTTTATCCAGGTGATCCAGTTCCCTCCCATAGTCCATAAAAATACTGGTACAGTGGATTAATTGTACTCTGGGAAAACTGGGTCTGGTGGGCATATTTGTGTCTGTGTGTGCCGTGCGATGCACTGGCAATCTGTCTACCTTGAATTGGATGAAGTAATTGGAAACTGGACAGAAATGTTTCATGTTCAAGCATGTACTGTATAATTGCACAAATCATCACTATTTTAATACAGAACTAAGCACTGAGTACCACATTGTTAAATTTATCTATAGTTCCTATTGCCATTTTAATCAAATACGGAATTCACTATATTCTTGATTGGCTTTGCTCCTTATTTATGATCTGCCTTTTTTCTGCAGTCTTCAATATCTGCTGATATCCCCTCACCAGCTTCTGTGAGCCAAGGCCATTCTGCGGGAGAGGTGAAGAGAGGGATGCTGGGAATGAAGGCATGATGACCCACAGCTATACAGGAGCAGGTAGTTCGGTCAGTGGCATTATCCCTAAAAAACATTTTAAACTGTGTTTAAAAAAAATCAACATTTGTCCAGTCCATCAAAGTGTAGTAATCTTCCATGGCATTCAATACATGGAAAATTTCCTAAATGTATTTTTGATCATTTAAAATACATGTAAGTGAATGCAGTGGAGGACAGCAGGGTGATGCATCGGTTAGCATCTCTGCCTGGCAGTGCTGGGGCCATGCGTTCAATTCCTGGGGTGCTATCTGCAGGTTTGTATGTTCTCTCGGTGTTTGTACTGTGTTTCCTCTGGGCCCTCCAGTAAATGGTTGATAGGTGCTTTTTCCCTTGCCTGTGAAGGGACTTGCACTTGATCTCACGGCATCTGAAATCACATGTCAAGATACAGTACATGTCAGGATTTACATCTGAAAGTGTTTTTTTTTTTCTGACAGGGGACTGGATGTTGTATAAGTCACATTGTTTGATGATTACAGATATATCTATGCTGATGACTACTGACAATTTTCTCCAAACATATAAAGATTGAAATTTAAACAGGAATGTACAGTACATGTATGATGAGAGTGGAAAATAATAAATGCATATCACAGATTTCCCATTCAGAAAATAATCACAAAATCATTTTAATGGTTAATATCATTACTCATAAGAACCTTCGTTAACCTCAATTTAAAACACTTCAACTAAAATTGTACCAATCTGTTCTTATTTCACAAACACTTAAAGGTATAAATAATCTTTTAAAGTTGTCTAATTAACCAACATATTTGCTTCTTTCTGCCAATTGATTTAACTTCTCATAATTGAATATAATTAAGTTGAATAACATAATTAAAAACATGTTTTGTGTTCATACAACAACGAGAAAAAGAAAATACAATCAAAAATGGAAAAAGCGTGGAACTACAGATTTACTGCAATTTGAGAGTAAATGTCACATTGTCATTCACACCATCTTTAACTCATAATACAATTGAGTTGATTAGAAAACTACAGGAGATAACAATTATGATATTTTACTACGTCAGCTGTTATTGAAAATCATAACAGATTATTCTCAACCTAAGACCTAAATGCAGAAGACATTCTAGCAAATGGTTAAATTCAAGGTTCAATAATTTTATCTCATTAACAGCTCAGGTAGAACACAAACCAGAAGAGACAGGGGTCCTCTAGGATTAGGAGTGGGGAGCTGCTTTCAATACTATTACTGTGTGATTCTACAATCTGAATATAGCACCCTTACTTTCTTTAGCTTTCACTGTTTATAAACTGGGGCTGCATTTCTGTACATTGTTTACTTCTCCTTAACTTGTACTGACAAAAATTCCACAGTGAATAAACATTTCCAAGGAATGTTGGAAATACAGTAGGGCAGCCCATGGAAATGTGTCACATAAGACTATTACTGGGACTTAGCAGGACTTAGCAGCAAGATTCCTATAATTAATGTTGATATATATAGTATATAGACTAATGGAGTGACTGAAAGACATGAGTCATTTACATGACTGAAGTCAATAGTTCAGCCAAACATAAAAGGCAAAGTAATATATAATAAATTGACAACTGGTTTTATGGTCCATAGTTTTATGGATTAAAGTGAGATGTGTTAGAGTTTATGAGAGTTTCAAATTACATATTAGTACTACAAGCTATCAATAGCAGAAGAGTCCAATAAACACTTCTCCATTAACAAATACAAGACGTATAGAATCAAAACCTTAGTCTTAAAAATAGTTTTCCATATTAGATGATTATGCTATGAATGTAGAATAAATAATGTACCGTAGACATGTCTTTATACTGTATCTCGTGTAAGATGATAACATTTCCTTTCAGATACAGTGTCTCACCTGTCACTGTCCAAAAAAGTGCTTCAAAAAACATCAGTAAATGCGTGTGAAACATGTTTTTTCAAAGTATCAGGCTTACTGGAGAGTTATGTTTCAATCTTGTTTTTAGAATTTATAACATCTGTGATCAAGCAAGCCGGTTTACAGACTTTTCAATTAGAAGATTATTTGTTGATGACCTTTCTCTAGCTTTCTTGTTTTATTTTTCATCTACCACATTTCATTGTCAAAGTTAAAAGGGTAGAAATACTTTAAAAGTAGCATTGGGTTTTAATGTAGGTAATAAAGAATTACCAATAATCTGCTAACAAATCTGAATAAGCTCATGTTTGTTTTCTTATTGAAAATATTTACTTGAACATCAAAGTTGCTTAAATTTTTAATCAATAAAACCCTTAATTTGACCTGTGTAAAAAATCACTGGCAGTTGCTGACACAGAAAGAAAAAGTGCTCAGTTGATATTTCAGAAAGACATGCAGCTTCTGCACAGATTTTGTTCTGGGGGTTAGATGTCAATGTAAGTGTTTCTGAATGTCCTTGAGGCCTCCTGCTGTAAAATTTCAGTTTGTGCTTACTGAGACTTCAGTAGGTGTACAGCAATTAATGTTGTGCAAGCACCTATGAGTGTTTCATAGCATGATAAAATTACTTTGGCCATGTCAGTGAAGCAGGATACAATTAGGATTCAATGCTTTAAATTGTTGCAATATGACAATCAGACTCATAACACAGAAAGCTGCACAGTTTGTGAACTTTGTGTGAGCAGAGGATTTTCACATTCACATTGAAAGACTGTTGCTGAACAATGCCCATTTTGACGACACTGTTTATTGACGACATCTAGAATTAAAACAGACTGCTTTCCACCATCATTCTTGAGTGCCTCACTGGATGACTCCTCCTCCACCTCACATACACACATATTAAATTGGCTGAAACAGGAGCATTTGGACTGGACAGCTGACACGTGTGTTTGACACTGTTGTAAACTCAAGCCTTCCTCTTGCTACTGTTCCTGGAGATGTGTATATGAATAATAGCTCTCTTGTGCCGTATGCTAGGAGGGAGCTGCTGTTGTTGGAGTGAGGCCAGGGGCTAATGGGAACGTACTGTGCATGCAGTGTGTGCATTGTACACCCTCAGCTAACCTGGAGTCAGTGTCTGCCACTTCCACTCCTTTCCCTAGGGGCTACTGACAAAGTAGATGGTTTCTTACGAATGAACCATCATCTCATTGTTTAATTATTTCTATAGGATGGGACCAACCCATTCACTATAGAAATTCAACACAGCACTGCCGGTTGATTTTCATTTATTATGGTATTTTTTATTTTTCACTGCCAAGAAGATCATCACTATTCCAAGCAAAGGAGGACATTTTAAAACAGAGGGGTGGTAGTGAGAGGTATAATTTCCCGCATTTAGGCAGAAAACCACAACATACTATTTGCAAGTTATGCACAGCTTTCAATAGCAATTTAACCTCAGTGTTATCAATTATTCAGTTGAAGACTGGTTTCTTTTAACTTCTTATTGTTGTGATCAGTGTTTTATAATTTCTATGTTTTGATTAATTCTCCTACTGTACTTTTTTTTTTAAAGAAACAGAAGCAGTGGGGTTTTGTGCCAGGTGGCATGAGATTGTCTTTTTATTTCACTTGGTAACACAATGACAAAACACAGATTCAGTGTATTTCAGGTCAGGCCTAAGAGAACATACATGAGGCCTGCCTTTCCAGAAAGATCAATTCAATGATCAGCCAATCACTCTACCAGACAAACCTAGAGACGAAACAAAGTCTCAGGTGGTGTCTATCCATGTTTCACACTAACATTGGGATGCATATTTATTGTACTACAGTTTTTCTCAGTGAAGGATACTCTTCTTCTTTGTTGGTAATAAGTGCCTAGCACATTATTAATTTGACAAACGTAATGTGTACAGAATGGAGGGTATCGCACCTCTTGCAATAACACCATCCCCTACTGAAAGTTTTCCCTTACATAGAAAAGTTTTCTATGAAAGTGTCATATTTGATAATTCAGACAATTGTCTAAGTTGTCCTCACAGTAAGTGGCTGGATCACAGTACCCCTAAGATGCACATTAATATGAGTGATGGAGCCTTTTGTGTGGTGCACCACATCTGTAGAGCTCACTGCCTCAGTCAACATTTTTAAATCTTCCTTAAAGATCTATCTTTAACCAAAGCTTTTACACTAAAGCTTTTGATGTTGGATTCAATTTCATGCTTGTTATTACTGAATCAATTTTCTTTTTTCTCTCTTAATGTCTGCTATGTGTATTGTGTGTGTGCTATTGTACAGTGCCTTGTGTTTCTTGTAAAACACTGATTAAACTGGACAATTACTAATAATTAGAAAACATGACATTCTCTAATTTGAAGCATATTTAACTTATTTTTAGAACATCCTGAAGAATTATTTAAAGGGTCCTGAAACACAGTACACAAAAGGAAATCATGTCCTTCATCTATTTGTGTTATTGTCATCATACTTAATATTACCAAGCTGGGGCAGAAGATGAACTGATCCGAACAGTGCCAAAACAGGAAACAGATTATTTCCATTAACACCTAAAGCTACTTTGTTTCTTTCTAAGATTTGTCTGGTGTTTGCTGGGCATTTTTAAGAAGAATTAATGGATACCATATCCTGCTGAATTAACAAACCAAAAATAGTGATGAATATGTGAACTAACATACTCATTAAAATTTTACAATATGTGTGTGTCACATAGGGTTAGGGTGACCCCTAAATTTGGGAATTTCTTGACGTTGTAGACAACTATGCCACCTACAGTAGCAATCAAAAAGGGATTTAGGACCCTTCTGCCCTTGCTACATGTTCTATTCATCTCCCAGAAGCACCAGGGCATGCACAGATGTGCAACAGACACTAGTTTTGTTTAAGTGCCCTTTTTATTTTCTAGTGATCACAGCACTTAACACTGTCTACCCCACACCCAAGGCACATTATACAACAATTAACTCCAAATGACACACATTCCCGACCAGTTACAAGGTCTCCCATTAGACCCCAGTTACCAAACAAATGACCCAAAATAATGCAGTCCAGCAGTTCTGTCCTTCCTGTAGTTACTTTGATCCTTCTTAATTGTCTTCTCCAGCCCCCTATCCCAAACAACATGGTTTCCTCATGCTCCTGATCCCCCCCCACCACCACCACCATGTTTTCTCCAAATCCAATATCAGGTACAGTAGGAGGGGAGGAAGATGATGCTAGAGCCTTCCTCAGCTGCTCCTCGAAGTGCCCTTGGTGTCTGTCTCTAAAATCTTCCTTCTTCCAAAAGTCCAGGGACTCTTGACTGATCCCCCATGGGAAATGGAAGTGTGCCTGTTAATGTTTTTGGTGTGGGCTGAGCCAGCTGTCCTGGTCTCATTCAGGAAATGGCTGTACATACAGTAGATGGCATTGTTCCATCAATCCTGTCATGAAGCCCCCCTCTCAATCAAATCTGCTTATCAACCCCACATGCTACCGCTGAATTGCCTGGTGCATGTGCTAAGATAGCTTTTGATCAGGGCAGGAAACGTCATCAACAATAGGGTGTCACTGCCCCATCACTGCAACTTAACCTTCATAAAACCCTCAACACCTGGTGTCCAAACACCCATCCTTTTCATTCAGTGGCATGTGTTTTAAGACATTTTAGCCTAGCGGGATAACATGATTTGCCACACTCACGGCAGAGCGGTGGCACTGTGGCTAAAGATCTGTGCCTGTGGCTGGAAGGTTGCAGGTTCAAATCTCATGGCTGGCAGAGGAATCCTACTCTGTTGGGCCCCTGAGCAAGGCCCTTAACCCCAACTACACCAGGGGCACCATATAAATGGCTGACCCTGTGCTCTGACTCCAAGCTTCTCTCTCAGCTTCTCTTCTGCCTGTGTGTCTTGTAGAGAGCAAGTTGGGGTATGTGAGAAGACACAATACTAATGAAGAAATTGTATATGGTGCAGATGTAATGTAAAATACAAATACTTTGTACATTTATGTTTACATGGTCTTTCTCAACAGATGTACAGTAGTCATAGCCGTGAACTATTCATGGAGAAGGACCCATGTGAAAAGGTGTCGGTTAAACACAGCATATTCTCACAAATACATCTCTAGCCTTTGGCCCTGCCTCTAAACACCCTGGTGCATTACTGATTGGCCGCTACTACTGCTGGCCAAATTCAAACAGAGAACATGCTGAATTAACTGGAGGCTTGTACTTCTCAATTACTGAATGGGTATTTTAATAATGATGCAGGATGTTTGAGTGTTCAGTATGCTTAAAAAGAGCTGCATGATTTAACGATAGGTGGCTGAGCTTCTGCTTTGTTCTTATTAAATCAGTGGTTAAAATGTAGTTTAAAAAGTTACATACAATTCAAATGCGTGGTAAAACGTCATGCTGTGCAAAATTATCTGCAGATTAGCACGTTATACAGCAGTACGTGATTGGCTGGTCAAAATGACCGACAGGTGGCACTCATGGTGCATTGGTTGTTAATGAAACGATTGCTTAATTTAATCTCTTTACTGTGCATGTTTAAATCCACTTAATATTCAATATTAATATGGAATTTTACAGCTACAGGGAAATTTGGGGAAAATAACAGGAGCATTACATCTCTGAATGTCATAAATTGTTTATTTAGGAATATAAACATATTATGTAAGCTGGATATGGTTGGTATTGGTACAGTAGTTTAAATAAAAAATACACACCAGTATTCCACTTTCTTCATAAACATTTTAAGCATCAAAGTCCTTCATTCAGTTACTTACTGTGGTTATTATGGAAAAGTTTGTAAGTGTTCTTTCTGACTAAATTTATATACTTATAAAAAGTTATAATGTTTTAACCTTTTCTATGAATACTTGCGCTTGTTATCGTAGTAAGAAAACATTCTTTTTAGAATTTGATTAATAGGGAATATAATATGGAATCATGCTGTGCTCTCCCCCCCTCTGACGGAGCGCGGTATTTTCACCTGTCCTACACAAAAGGAAGAGAAGAGAATGTGATTTTTTCTGTATGAAACGTGTTGTGTTGATGAAATTCAAGTATTTAAACATTTAATTAAAAAGTAAAAATCTTACAGCGTACACAAAGATTCTAAGCTGATCACAAGGAAGAAACATTTTCATTTTTACAGTTTTTAAAGTCATGCAGTGTTAGGCAGGGATACGTCATTGTATCTTATTTTTTATTTCGTTTTGAAAAAAAAATAAAAATTGTTTGCCCATCGTGTTGGTAGGCTGTTCTCCGATTACTGGCAATTGTAAAAAATAATCCTTCCCCCCTCCCTTGTTTAACTTAAAGATTTCTGTGAAAAAATCCTTAAACACAAAACCATCACGTATAATAATTCATCCAGCTGGTTCCCTGTTGAATGACCCTGATGGACCAGGTTCAATCCCAGGTGGTGTACTATATAGTACAGTTTTTTTTTTTCAAGTTAAATTGTTGGCCTGATTACTGGCTGCT